TTCTTGATGAACCAACTTGGAAATAACATTCTGATGACTCAAATCAAAGAGCTTGGAAATGTAGCTATCCTATAAGATTACGGATTACCACTGAATCTATTAAACTCTAAAAGTTGCATTAAATATTGTGGGAATTTGGTTTGAGAAATAAGTGGGAAAATTTAAAATCTTGAAAATACAACAATTATAATCTAAGTAATAAATATTTGGAGGTATGGAAAAGGGACGTGGGGGAAAATGTGAAAGCATGAATGTCCTCATCTTTTATGATCTGAAGTCGAAACATGTAGTGAAACAAGGGTGTGCAACATTTTAATGTCTTTTATAATCTATGTTCTCAACATTTGAGACCCTTTTATGAAATATTACCTCTCGTGGCTAAAAACAATAACAGCAACCACGTTTATCTGAAGTTCAACAACTGTTCAGTTTTAGCTTTGTGTTTTATATAAATATTTTAAAGATTTATTTATTTATTTGACAGAGAGAGAGAGAGAGATAGCCCAAGCAGGAAGGGCAGGAGAGAGAGAAGCAGGCTCCCCGTAGAGCACGGAGCCCGATGCCGGACTCGATCCCAGGACCCTGGAATCATGACCTGAGCAGAAGCCAGATGCTTAAGCAACTGAGCCACCCAGGCGCCCCGTGTTTTTATATAAATTAAACAAAATTAAGATTTAATGTGTTATTTGAAACAGTGCACAAATTATCATCTTTACAACAGCAATCCATTCATCTTTATGGCAACACCCCCACAGAAAGACGTCTGTAATAACATTCAATTAATGTTAGCATTGTTTATTTTGAACAAAATTTGAGGTGATTGCTTGTGCCTTCTTTTTGAATCCTTTTTCTCTGCATTCCTTAAAGCCCTTATACATGGGGGATTTTTACACATTATAAACATGAAGTGATTTTTCTTACAAAGAAAAATATACACACATGCCCTGATTCTTTTTTAGAAATTGAACAAATTACATCAAATGTCCCATGACATAAGCCTCACTGGAACTACGTAGACAGGGTCGATGTGTGGTGCAGCAGAGAATACAGAATTTATCTAAATGCATAATCTAGTCTGTTTTCTGATCTTTATGAGTCCTTTTGTTTTTCCGTAAGCCCTGCTAGATCTGTAGGAGGCAGAGGGAAATCGCAACCCCTCAAACAGACAGATCTTGAGACAGGATGTAGTTGTCTTTACATTTCTACCAGCTCCCCTCTAATCCTAGGATTGTTACAGAAGGTTTCGGTTGGTTAAGTGACTGCCTTGGGCTCAGGTCATGATCCCAGAGTCCCGGGATCGAGTCCCGCATCGGGCTCCCTGCTCGGCAGGGAGTCTGCTTCTCCCTCTGACCCTTCCCCCTCTCGTGTGCTCTCTCTCTCATTCTTTCTCTCAAATAAATAAATAAAATTTTTAAAAAATTAAATAAAATAAAATAAGACAATGAATCCAACTAATCATTACGTTAAAGGCATGGGATAGGAGAGTAGGGGTTATATACTATAGGATATTCTTCTTGAGTATGGTATCCTGAAACTAAATTCACAATATTCTCTTCAGTAAAACAGAAAAAAAAAGTGATCCAAGCCATTTCTCTTTCTGATCTTTTAGCCAGTACTTTGTTGGTCTGGCTTTCAATAACACTGATGTCAGCGGGATGAACTCTCTTGAAAATCTGATTTAAAGCCTAAACATGAATTTACAACAGAGGCTCCTTCTCACTTGCATTTTTGAAGAATAAATAAATTGAACCATGTAGTTAAGTGGTTTTATGTGCACAATGACATCTCAAAACTGGCCTGGTTCTGGGAAGCAATTCTCCCTGTCTTCATAAGTAATGAAAAACCCAACTTCAATATTTCCTGGGAGAGACCAAAGGTGTGGACTCTAACGCAGCTCACTGGAACTTGGGAGTGGAATGTTTTCAGAGAATTGACACAGGTTGAACACAAAAGAAAATAACTAGGTTGTAGAATACATTTTGAATCATCACCTTATAAAACAAACAGCTTTGAATGTCCACTTGCTTTCAACATGCTCTCAGATTAATTCTTGAATAGGGAAATTTTCTAGTCAATATGTAAAAAAAAAATATTCTAAAGGGAATAAAAAGGCTAAGTCTTAGTTAGGAACAATATTGATGTTTTAAAAACAGGACTATAGGAGCGCCTGGGTGGCTCAGTCGGTTAAGCGTCTGCCTTCGGCTCAGGTCCTGATCCCAGGTCCTGGGATCGAGTCCCACATGGGGCTCCCTGCTCAGCGGGAAGCTGCTTCTCCCTCTTCCTCTGCTGCTCCCTCTGCTCCTGCTCTCTCTCTCTCTCAAATAAATAAATGAAATCTTTGGAAAAAAAATAAAAACAAGACTAAATCCTAGTGTTTTTAGAATGACATCGTATATACTATTTTGATATTCATTACCATTTTATATTTTTGCATATGTAATTATTCATTTTGAATAAAAAGGCAGATATCTATCTCCCTCTGTACATCAGAGACACAACAAACACTAGGCCCTCCATTGATTATGCACCATCTGACATGGAATAATCTCTGAATCCCTCAGTTTCCATTTCCTCTTCTACAAAATTGGGATTGCAAGTCCTACTCTACCTATTGGAATCGTGTGAAAACAAATTAATTGAAATTATACATATGGAAATACTTTATGAACTACAAATGAATTTACATAAGCATTTTGTTATTTGTATTTTAGTAGATACAGACTTCTGTTCTGGTGTTACTGGGTTGTCTGCATAGGAACTCACTAGAACATATTTACAGATAGTATAATTTAAAAAGAAGAGCACCCTTAGTTCATCATTTAATCTCTATAATATTTTGGAATAAAAAGTAGATCATAATCACATGCCACTTCACTGAATGCATTTGACCACATTTTCATGACATGTTTTTTAATCCTCTCCTTAAACATATCCCCTCAAAAATCTACGTGTACCTTTCACCTAATTATATCAGTCTCTTTCATTAGAAAATTCTTCCTTATATTCAAAAAAATCTATGCCCCAAAATTTCCACCAGCCACCCTCATTCTTCCTTGTGGTATTGCTAAGAATGAATAAAATCCTTTTATCTACGTCGACCTTAATATATCCAAAACACAACTTTCCATTTCTGTTTCAAATATGTTTTCCTACAGCACTCACACATCACCATTTTCTCTTTCCTCTTCTTTTTCCCTCATCACCTCCCTGAGATGGCATCAACCGGTGGGTCCAGCCTGTGCTACCATGAGAAGGTAACCTGCTTGTAACTGTTTCTCATCAGCTCGACTGCCACGCCCTTGGTCCCAGACGCATTCATCTCACAACTCAACACAACTCAACATCGCAATCACAACAGTCTCTTGGTTGGTGGGTTTTTTTTTTTTTTTTTTTTCCAATCTGGTGCTCCTAGAGTCTTTTCTCAATTCAGTGGCCAAATCAACTTTGTTTCTATCCTACAATGGCTTCTCTTTGCACTTAAAACCTAATGTCCTTATGTCGCCTATAACGTCCTACGTGATCTTTATGTCGCTTATAACATCCCTCTTGCTGTCAGACCTCCTCACTTACCCTCTACTATATTTCACCCTATTCCAGCCAAACTCGCCTTCTTGCTGTTCTTTGAACACACTACGTCCAAACCTACCCTCATGTCATTACATTGGCTCTCTCTCTGCAAAGAGTACACTTTATATCTTTCCATGGCTAGCTCCTCATCACTTAGTCTCTGCTCAAACATCACCTCCTGCCATGGGCTGAATGTTTATGTCCCCCCCCAAATTCATATGTTGAAATCTTAACACTCAAGGTGATGGTATTATGAGCTGGGGTCTTATCCCCTCATGCGATTAGTGCCCTCATAAAAGCAGCTTGAGAAAGCTCCCTCCTATCCTCTGCCATGTGAGGTTTCGGTTAGAAGACTATGAGAAAGTGAGTCCTCACCAGACACTGAATCCACTGGCGCCTTGATCTGGGACTTCTCAGCCTCCAGACTGTGAGCAATAAATTTCTGCTATTTATAAGTTACTCTGTCTATGGTACTATGTTACAGCAGCCTGGACAGACTAAGAGACCTTCCCAGGGAGGCATTTACCACCCTACTGACAACAGCTACATACTTTCTTCACTGTCTTATTTTCATAATATTTACTAGTATCTGAAATTTTATTTTTATATTGTTTCTTACCCCTCCCCCACTCTAGAATATAATCCCGAGGGCAGAAATAATATATATCTTGTTTATTATCTTATCTTGAGTAGTTTCTATGATGTTCAATTGTGCAGAGCGAGTGAACACAGTAGTCCTGAGAATTCCATCCTTAGAAATGCCTCTTTGGAAGGCTGGACTTTGGCGGGCATCAGTGAACCTAAGTAGTAAACAATTTCCTATACTGATATAAAACTCTCTAAATGAAGAGTGACTCACTGTGCCTCGACTATTTGTACAAACAATGCAATTTGTATTGACCATCTGCTTTCCTTCTAGGAGTCTAGATTTTAGTACTTACTAGGCAGAAGACACCTATGTAACCAGCCCTCAGTAAAAACTCTGGATGCTGAGTCTCTAATGAGTATCTCTCATTGACAACACTTCATGCATGTTGTCATACTTCGATGCTAGTAGAATTAAGTACATTCTATGTGATTCCACGGGAGAGGCCTCTTGGACAGTTGTACTGGGTTATCTCTGGACTTGGCCCATGTGCCTTTCCCTTTGGTTATTTTTGCTTTGTATACTTTCTCTGTAATAAATATTAGCCATGGATACAATAATAGGCTGAATCCTTTAGGTCCTCTTAGAAAAATCACTGAACCTGGTGGGAGTCTTGGGGACCCTGGACATGCCAACCAAGAAGCTCACCTTGTCACCCCAGCTAAAAATAAGTAAACAGAACAAGACTTAAAGGAATTCCATAATGTGGTGATAAATCCAAAAGGAAAATGAATCCCATCCTTCTCTGAAGTATACTACCCCACTATGAAATCCATTTACTACTTACGTGACTGGCCTATAGATCTCCTTAACCCCAATGAACTGAAGTTGTTCCATAATGTCTGGAATACTTGCACATCGAGTAAGATTAATTCTTGGGTAATAAAGAAGATATGAGAGACACATTTCATTCCTGGTGCTTAATCCTCCCTGAAAATGGAGATATTTTATTTAGAAAAGTTTATGTTCCACCATCTCCGACACTTAGAGCACACAAGCCTCCAATACTGAAACGTAATAAATCTGAAAGCTGAGTAATAATAATCTGAGTGAGAATTTGGTTTTTAAAGAGGTAGAGGCACATTAAAAAATTAATAGAATGATTTCCATCCCTTAAAAGTTGCCTTTCTTAAACAACCTAATAATCTCTCTCATGTTCTGTTCCTGTGATGTAAACTACTCACCACAGTGAACATTTGAGAGAATTATGGGGATGTTTGGTTAACATGATACCAATCAGTCGGGTTGATGGACTCTTTGCCTGAATGCACTGAATTTTCTGTAATCACGGTGTCATGTATAAACATCAGAAGACACATACCACAGAGAAGACAGAGTTCACATTTTAAATCAAGGTAGTAAATTAGCTACTGAAAGTAAAAAGATCAAAGCTCCTCAGGAGAACAGAATCTAGAACTGTTACAACATATTTTCTACAGTGTTGAATTTTCAACACTGATCTGCACTCGGAAAATAAAAAAGTTACCGGCAGAAACGGATTGTGAGAAGATATTTCATCATAAGTGATGGAAATAACAAAAAGATATTGGGATTACATATTTAAGGGCTGCAGGGAAAAATAAATCAACCAAGAATTCTGTATCCAGCCAATCATCTGTTCTTCAAAAAGTGAAGGTGAAAAACTTGGCAGTATTGTTCATAGTTTTAAATTAATGCAGTGGGTAAAATGCAATGATTTTACAAATTGCAGAACACAATGTTTTGCACTTGATGAGCAAAGCAGGATTGGGCAAAGGGAGAAGCTGATTTACAAATGAGGTTACAAGTGATGCCTCAGTAAAAATCATATTTAATTTATCCTTCAGCTGGGATGGCTATTTGGAGTGGTACTAAATTGTAGGAAGGGAGCCAGGCATTTGTATCTTCCCATGAACCAGTCATTGGCTGCTGGCTGCCCCACTGCAGGGAGCATAACTTCAAGTGGGGCATTCCCTGACACCAAGGGCAATGCCCAGTGAATGACACGGTTTTGAGTTATCATCTGGTATTTTCAGTGGCTGGGTTTTAGCTGTGCTGGCCCTGAAGACAGACAGTATCCAGTCAGACCACCAAAATATCCCCTAAAATAATAAGGTATGATGTCTGAGGTAAAATATTTCATGCAAAAAAATCATATATAAGGCATGAGACAAATAAAGCCAACACCAATGGACTAACTGTACTCTGTGCTCATTTTTAATACTCCTCTTCCCCATCCTAATTGAAGATGAAGATTATCTTACTGTTTGATTTATCATTCTATTGCTTTTCAAACCCTTTACACTCCATTTATTGACGTATGTATGCATCCCTAAATGACATTTTCATTTTGTATGTTCTACTTTAGATACATGACATCATACTGCCTATGGTCGGCTGCAAACTTGCCATTTCTGTTCTTCCCATACATTCGTTAACATACGTAGCTTTCATTCATTAATTTTCACAGATATATACTATAAATATATTCTACGGACATATTATATTGTATTTATTTGTTCTTTTTTTGATAAATAGTGAGCTGTTTCCAGCTTTGTGTTCCTGTGTTGTTACATGCTACTATGAATATTTTACATATTTTCTCCTAGAACACTTCCTGCAAAAGGAACCTTAAGGTGAAATCCACACAGGAATGGAACTGGGTAGAGCATCTATGAGTCTCCAACTTTACCAGATGATGTCATGCTTTTCCCCAAAGTGGTTTTATAAATTTACATTTAGCTGTGTGTGAGGACTCCAGTCTTAGCACATTGGAATTGCAATTTTAAATATTGCCAAACTGATGGGTAGAAAATATCTCCTTCTGGTTTAAATTTGCATGATCCTGATTTCAAATGAAATTTCATTTCATTCTTTCATATGTTTATTATCTATTTGGGCTTTTATTTCCGTGAAACGTTTGTGTCTATTGCTCTTTTTCTATGGTCTATTTGTTTTACATTACTGATTTATGAAATTTCTTTTATATGCTGGATACTAATGCTTTATGAATCTATGTGTTGCATTTTTTTTTTCAGTTTAAAACTTGTCTTTTCACTTACTTAATAGTGCTTTTTGGTAACCAAAAGATTTCAGGTAGTCAAATTCATCAATCTTTTATAGTTCGTGCTTTTTATGTTTTAAGTTCTTATTACCCCCAACATCATAAAAATATATTCATATGTTTTTCTCCCAATTGCTTTAAGATTTTCCTTTTCACATTTAAATACTTAATCTACCTGTGACTTGCTTGTGTATTGTATACCTAGTTGTGCTAGTATTCTTTAATGGAAAGTCCATTCTTTCCCACTTAAATGGTTACTGTGTCTGTTCTAAACCAAGTTTTATAGGGGGTTTGTAGGTCAGTCTCTAAGATTCCTATTATGTACCACTATTCTAACTCTGGACCCAAATACACTATCAATCACCATAGCTTTAAAATAAGCCTTCATATCCAGTAGCTTGTCTCCATCTTTTACTTTCTAGTAGTGCCTTGCCTATTATTAACCCTTTGCTCTTCTATGTAGATTTCAGAATCTATTTGCTCCATATAAAACCTAAAACTGTAAAATTTTTAGAAATACGAAAAAATAAGAGAAAATCTTCACAGCTATGGCTAGGCAAAGATGTCTTAGTTAGGATACCAGAACCTCAAATCATAAAATCTCTCTGAATTTTTTTTTATTGAAATTATATCAAATTTATAGGCCAATTTGAATAGAAGGGTTATCTTTATTCTATGGAACCTTTCTATCCATGAACACAGTATCTCTTCATTTCTTTAGGTGTACTGTAAAGTTTTGCAAATAAAGATTTGTAAGTTTTTCCCCATGGAGATCAAGCACATCTAATGTTAGATTTTATTTCTATAGAACTTAGAGTTTTAAAATGCACTTTCTTGAGATAGTTTCTTAACTATTCTTAGTTTGGAAAATGTATTTATACTATTTAGTATTTATGCTAAAATAGTTAGTTTTAGATATCAATTTTGAGGAGGTTTTTGATGTAGAAAATTATAATATCTGTGAATAATGTGTTTTGCTTCTTTGCTTCTTCCTTTGTGATCCATATGTCTCATTTTTTTCCTTTTCCAGTACAATGTTGAATGGAAATGATGATAATAAATATTTTTGTCTTCCTTCTGATATTAAAGCACTACTTCTAATATCCAAGTAGTTTGATATTTTCTACAGATTTTTCATAGCTAAACTTCATCTGGCTAAGACAATTCTCTCCTATTCCTAGTTTATAAAATGCTCTTTTTTTATTACTCACTTAAATCTTATGAAGACTTTTTTCTTCCCCTATTGACCTGATCACGTCTTTTTCCTTCAATCTCTAATGTAGAATGGTATTAATATATTTTCTATTTTAAACCAATTTACATTCCTTAGCTAAGCCCAAATTGGTCCTAACATTACATTTTTCCCTAACATTACATTTATATATAATGCTGAATTTATCCATCAAAGATAGTTCCATCAGGTGCATGTTGTTGACCTCTTTCATAGTGTCATTACCAAGTTTTAGTATTAAGATTATGCTAACTTCATAAAATGAGTTGGTGGGAGGTATTCCCTGGGAGAAACTATGTAAAGCATGAATGGTCTATTTCTTGAGTGTTTGTCAGGACTCCTCAGTAAATCTGCTGGACCAAATTTCTCTTTGGGTCAGAATGCAATTCATTCTTCCTTTTGAAGTTCTTGATTCATCTAAGTCCGGACTCAAGCAGATGGTCACTTGCGACCACAGGTCTCTAATTAATATGATTTGGTGAGAAAAAACTAGATGACTAGAATAGCTTTTCATGAAAGGGTTAATAAATTATACTGCAAATTTGCTGTAGAATCATTAGTTAATCTGATAAAATGCTAACATAGCTCTGATTTCACTTTTATGGTGTTTCTTGCTCAAGATGTTCAGGAATTTTGCCTCCAAAATAGGAATGCTTTTTGCTTTTTCTCCTCTAAAATCAAAGTTTATTCCTCCTTCTCCACAAATGAATTTTAATAATCATAAAAATTTTCTTACCCAAGTCATCCGGGATCTATCTTTTGTGTTGTAACGACACTCAGTAATTAGATTATCCCCCTAGAACATAAAAATGAAAGCTTTTAGTTTGGAGTTCTAGGCTGTTTTATTTATCTAATACATTTGTAGGCCAATAGTTTTATTTGCTATGTGAGTAGATTCATTAAGAAATTTGATCCAGGGGAACCTTGAGCTACTCAATTCTAAGACTGTCAGTGTAATAAACAAGCAAACAAGCAAATAAGTCTCTCTCAGGTCAGACTCTACCATGTTCTAGCTGCATGACCTTAGGTAAGGAAAAGAATTATCTGGGCACAATTTATTTATTTATTTAAAAAATAATTATATAAAATAGCTGTTATTTTGCACAGCTTTGTGAACAGATTAAATGACATAACATGCACCTAGTTCTTAGTGCAGATTAAACACTTCATAAATGTTACCCACAGATACTAGTTATTATGATGCTCTCTTTATTTATATTATTTTCTTTAAAGGTCTTTAGTCACATCTTTATTTCCTCACAACAGAATTGTGAAGCAAAGTAATAGTTATTGTTCCAATGTTTTCTAACTTTTGAACAATTCAGCATACACAGAAAATAATTTTGTTTATGGTTCACCACTCAGGTCAATGGACAGGCTATTCATGGACCAGAGGCAGCCTGTGCTGGGTGCTGGTCCCTAGATTTGCTCTCCTGGCCTACTACTCAGAAGGCCCATGGATCAGGATGTCAACACACTGTCCTTCCACACCGTCCTTCCACAACCCCAGGTACTGTTGCAAGCTGGATAGTTAGTTCTGTCCAAAACCTTTGTCAAATGAAAGAATTACCCTTATCTTCATTTTTACTGAAATCGAACCTCCCAAAACTCTCCTCTGGTATAAAAAAAAAAAAATCTCTGATTTTTGTATTACCAGAATTGCAACCCAAAGGTTTACTAGAAAGTCAAGTAAGAAAAGAGTAATGTTTGGTACTCAGAACCCAAGTTTTTCTTTTCTTTTTAAATCAACAACTTGAGTTGCCCCTGGGAATGGTAAGAAAAGTGAGTTTGATTTTGGGAATCAGATCAAACACATTCCATCTGGGTTCTGCAACACCCACAGTGGGTGGCTTCAAGAATGTGAATACCATGAGCAATTCACTTTACTGGTAGAAAACCTTGCTAAATCGCAGTAGATAGATGCCTTGACTTTTCTAAGATTCAGTGAAAAAGAACAAAACATTCATACTGGTAAGATTGTTTGTTCTTCCCTAAGATACTGAAACTCCTGGAAATTGAAGTCAAAATCGTCATCATAAGCCAGTAATCTCATTTCCTCCCCTTTGCGAAAATGACGGAGCCTGATGCCCCTGCCAGCCAGGTGAGCATGGAGAAGAACAGCAAACACATGGATTCCACTTGGCTTTTCAGCTTCCAGAGCCTACAGGCGGGGCACACAGAGGAAGACACAATTAGCCCAAACAAGCACATGTTCAGACAGTTCACCATAAAAGAGACTTGGAGGGACAACTGAGAAGAAAATCTAAAGCAACTTAAGTGAATGCTTGAGCAGCCAAACATTTTGAATTAGCATTTTTTGTGATTTATTCCTAGCAGTGTTATCTTTGTGAAGTAACATTTGCAGGCAGAGAAGAAAGGGAAATGATGCTTACTGAGGACCTACCAGACCACTTCTAAATGTTATCTTTCTTTTTCCTTCTTTTAGGAGGTAAAGAGTCAATCAAAGCTCTTGGCAAAAAGATTCCAGTACGTTAGTAACCTGTAAATAGAAACTCTTAAACGGAGAAATGATTCCTACTTTCCAAGATAAGAAAACCAAGTGGAAGAGTGGAGTTCCATGAATTGCCCTTGGTCCTACAGCTAGTACACGATGTCATGGCAATTTGAATCACGATCTAAATAACTCAAAGGGCATAATCTTTCCACTTCATCAGTCTGCCATCTGTCTACAATATAATAGCTTATAATTTGTAAAGAATATGATCCATGTTGAAATACATTTATTTAGGAAAAAAGAACTGTATATGGAAGCAGCCATAATTAAATATTTTACATGGTTTTCCTTACTCAATATGCACTTTGATATTAGGTACTCTTGCTCTTTGGTTTATGTAGGAAGGAAACTATAAAGCAGAGAAAAGCAGAAAAAAAATGAAAATTAATAATGGAAAAAACAAATCTGGAAAAGGTGAAGTTGAGAAATGGAAAAGAGACCACATGAACCAAGGTAGAAATTGTAAAAGATAGTGTCAAATATGAAAAAAAAAAACAAAGGAAGTAGGTCAGGAAGGAAAACATCCTGGAAGTTACTCTTGTCCAGAATTCTACTCCTACAGCCTTCAAGATTTAAAAAAGCAGTCAAAGGGTTGTCACAGTGATAAATAATGACTTTACAGCGTGACAACAAGAAAAAGATTAATAACAACAAGCATGAGATTTTCCAAACATAGTTTTCCAAGAGCATTGATGAATCTATGAATAGTAGCTCACAGACTCGATGTACCACATACCTCTTCTAAGCATTCCAGAGTGCAGTGACCCTCAGACCGGAATTCAGGCATCCCTGGAGGGATGGTGTGGAAGAGGCTTACCCAGAGGCCAGCCTCAATCACCCCAGCATCATACTTCCTTATATCTGTCGTATGAAATAACCTCAGTCCAGAATTATCTATTAAGCCTGGAATAAGAGCAAATAACTAAAAGTGAGTTTGAGTTCTTAAAAAAATTTTTTTCTCCACATTCAGTTGAAATGGACTTATTAATTTTCCTTAAAATCTCACAAGGGAAAGAATTACAAGTAAAGATTAATGGGAGACAACATTCAGTTTCACAAACAGCAATTAAAACATAAGTCACCATATTGTCTGCAACCATTTTTTACTTACACAGTATACCACGGGAAAAATGTTCGTGTTGTCTAGCTGATATATTCTACAATGATCTAACATAAAAATAGACCAAAGGAAAATTCTAAAGTCATTCATCAGAATATAGAATAACTCAGCAAAAACTTTATTTTATATTGTTTTCGGGTAAAGTTCAGTAACATTTCCATAGAGGTAGAAGCCCCTTGGTCTAGAAATCATCTGCTGATAGAATAAACTACTGATGATTAATTTTCTTTATAGTTTGCCACCATTCTTTTAATCACTCAATGAACAGTTATTCAATCAACAAAAAATATTAATAATCTATTACGTGACTAGAAAGCATAACAATAGGCATGTGGGGATGAAAGATGAGTAAGACACATTCCTCACTGAGTCAGTTATCATAAGGACAGAGAGTCCCAACCCCCTCATAAATTTGTTCTCCTGACTTTGAAACTTTCTGCAAGGCTGACTTACCTACCCGTGATTACCAAATTGACACTTTGGAACCATTGGCATATACATAACTTTATATTAATTGGTGTGATTATTTTTATTATTTCTCTTTCTCACTATACTATAATTTCCACCCGGTTTGGTGTGTTTTTCACTCATGTTGTATCATTAAGCACAGACTGGAGACAGAGCTGGTGCTCAGTATTTGCTGAATAATTGCACAAATCAGTGTAAAATAATAACTTTGAGTTACTTCTGTTGAGAACTTCATATTGAATCTTTCAACTTTTTGGTTTTGGATTATTACATAAGAAGGTTTAGAAAAGTAGATTCACAAATCAAATGTAAGTACAAACCCTCTTCATTTCAATATCATATTACACAGTGTGTCTGTACATATAAACATAACATTTTCTAGTGTGATGAATGGTAGCATTTCATATGTGCAGTTAGAAAATGTTTCATAAGCACCATCTTTGGGGAACTAACTTATATCACAAAGAGAAAAATCTATTATCCTATTTCTTGGAAAGTAGGATGCAAATTGTTTTTTTAAGATCACTGACCACGTGTGTTCATTTTGCCTGGTTCAGTGCTGGTTAATCACTGTTGCCTCAGTGTAATTTTTTATTATTAACATATAATGTATTATTTGTTTCAGGGGTACAGGTCTGTGATTCATCAGTCTTACACAATACATAGCACTCACCATAACACATACCCTCCCCAAAGTAATTTTTAACAGTATTCTCTTTTGCTCTAAAAAAGTATCCTAATTTGGATGAAATTTGTATAGGTTAATTCCTTCTAATACTGGGTGGTGGTTTATTTCAACCCTGTTAAGATACTTACAAAACTTTTGAAAATCATAGGTAAAATATATGAAGAATAAACTCACCCTCCTTATATGTCGGATTGTCATAATGGACTTCCAGGAGCACATAACGTGGATCGAACGGAGTGCCAAGGGATAATCCAACATGAGGTGGATAGGAAAAACCCTAAATAAGGCAAATTCCATGAGACGTGCCCTATGAAAGTCCCTAAAAGTTCTATTCCACTCAAAAACCAACCATTCTCAAAGATATTTTGACATTCTGGATCTCCATAATATAGAGTGGATATAACAAAATGGCATAAGGAGAGAATCGCTTCCAATGGGAAGAAAAATAAGTCACCCTCCTATCAGAAATAATGTATAGAGCTTTACTTATAAGTATTAGAACCGAAGGGGAAAAAACATGATCCATGAATAGTGTCACATCTCAGTAATCATTGGTCCCACCTCTCCACCAATGGCCCAGGCAAAAATAACGGTCTCGCAGGTGAGGAATGCATCGGGCATGTTAGGGTGGTAGCACTCGTGGCCATAGTCCAGGACACTGTCGTTAAAGCTGCTGCTGCACTGGTAGAGCAGGATGTGGTGGACCAAACTCTCGTGGCCTCTCTGTATCAGTGGCTCCACCTGAACAAGCACAAACGAGAGGGAGGATGCCATGAAGCAAACCACCCTACAATCCCTGCGGTAAGCAGGAAACGAGCATAAATGATGATTAGTTTTTCAAAGGAATCGTGTTCTCAACTATGTAAAGGTTCTGATGTGGCTCAAAAATAATTTGTTCTGGAGAAGATAACAATAATAATGATGGTGACGGCGGCAACAGCGAAGGTGAGGTAACCCATGGGGCGCCTGGGTGGCTCAGTTGGCTGAGGGTCCAGCTCTTGGTTTCAGCTCAGGTCATGATCTCAGGGTGGTAAGATGAAGCGTCACGTTGGGCTCCACGCTCAGCGGGCAGAGTCTGCTGGAGGTACTTTCCTCTGACCCTCCCCCGACTCACGCACCCTCTCTCTCTCAAATAAATAAGTAAACCTTAAAAAAAAAAAAAAGATGAGATAATGCTTTCCTCCAGGAATCATAAGATTTGCTGATCTGTTTGGGTTTTGAACTCACTTTTGTTTTCCTTAGCATTCTGTGTGGCAACTGTTTCCAGACCTGCTTTCTTCCAGGCTTCTTTGCCCTTGGTTCCCTTCCCTCTTTTTTCTTTTCTTTTTTTCACCACATTAAAAAAAAAAAAATCAAGGCTGTAGATAGACCAAACTCCCTCAGTCTCCCTCTCTTCCACCTCAAAATATTATCTTTATCCATCCTTATTGAAGGTGATAGGTGATGTCTCATTCGTCTATTACCTATCTATCAATCATCTATCCATTATCTATCTATCTATCTATCTATCTATCTATCTATCTATCTATCTAT